CTTGTTATCTTGTTTTTAGTATTTGAGATTGGTAAGACTAAGTGCTTCTGAAAAAATGTTTCTACAGTTTAGGCTTTTAGGTGGGTTTGTCACTTCTATTGTTTTTTACTTTGTGTGTGTGGTTTCTCTTAGTGGGTTTCTTTTTTTTCTTGTTTTTTGAAAGCCTCCTTTAATACAGAGATTGGTTGAGTAAGAAATTATTGATTGGTTAAATTTTTTTCTAGTCAGTTACAAATTAAATTTCCTAAAAAAATACGGTTTAAGGCAACAATTTAATAACTCACTGTTGGAATACTTTAATGTCCTCCCACAGGTCCCAGCAAATGCTCTGTATTCATTGTAGCTTCTTCTGGAGCTAATGAAATTTCCTGTTTATAATACTACCAGTCAAATATTGCCTGTTTTAATTACTACTGCAGTCATTCACTAGCTTTTCATTTACAAACTTCCTTTAGTGTGGTCCCTCATAGCAATATAAAATCATAGAATGGTTTGGGTTGGAAGGGACCCTAGTCTAAGCCTCCTGCAGTCAGTCAGGAGGGACATCTTCAACTAGATCAGGTTGTTCAGAGCCCCGTCCAACCTGACCTTGAATGTTTCCAGGGATACACCATGATACTTTCTTCATAATCTTTTGTACTTTGTTTTGTGTGTCATATTTGCACATGAGAGTTTTGTGTAATTTGTTTGTTGATCCTTTTGGAGTGTAGGGATACTCTATATCTTAGGATGGAAGCACTGCTGCACGAAGCCAAAAAGTTGGGTACAAATGAGTGGATCTGCTGTACAAATTCCATCTCAGTGCCTTGTCAGTATTGGCCTTGACTTTTCTTGGGTAGTATAAGCAGTGGGAGCATGAGAGCAGTATTCCTGAGGTATGTATGGATACACTAGTACATCTGTGCAACATTTCCATATGCTTCATGAGCATTTTCATCTGCACAAGTTCTCACAAGCACAGGAAAACTGGTGGCTTTCCAAGTGAAGTACACCATTTCTTGAGGAATACGTAGTTCGAACCCACAGACTTGGAGAAATGCATTGCACAGAAGAATAATTCTGAAGGGTAGTCCAAGTCTGAACTTCAAATGAAAAACAACCTGTGAGTTGATAAAATGTAATAAGAGTTATTGAGTCAACTTGCTCAATCCTGAACCTGAAAGAGTAGAAGTATGGTAGGCATGTAGAAGTAGCATGTATGGACGTAAAATTTTATTTGGAAGCTACAGGGAAGGGAGCAACATATTTGAAAGGAGTATGGGTTAAACATGCAATAGGAGTCAACAGAGTTGACTGAAGTTGGCAGATGAACAGGGAAGTAGTCTTTCAGTGTGTGCTGAAGTGCACTTGCTAATCTTATAAAAATTTTGAAGGCTGTGCGTTACTTGGATTTTAACAAATGACAGTTTGATTCAGTGGAACGTGAGCTCCCAGTTATGTTCACTTGAATTGCTCTACTATTTATCTTTGTTTTCTCTGCTATCCTGCAGATCATTTGTGCATAATAAAGAAATACTCAGTTTCTTGTTACAGTATTTCTACTCCTGTCTGTTCTGGATGTGGAAGCTGGATGTCTGTTGATTACCCTGTTGTGTATTCATGGACATGGGTTAGTGCTGACTTACCAAATGTCTCTGTTTTTTACTTCGCCTTGAGGGATGACCTGCATGTTCCACCTCCCCCTCCTCCTTCACCAGCCAAACAGCTGATGCAACTCTGCAAACTTTAGACAGGCCACCTAAGCAGTTAAACAGGTTCATTTTGGTTTCTATACATCCTGCTACATACCAGCATGGAGATGGGAGGGAAGGCAGGTTGTGAATGTGTTGTACTTTATCAGAGTAGACTTTAGACTTTCTGTTAAATGTCCACAAGTGATAAGAAGAAAGAAAGATAGAAAAGGAGCTGCCATTTAGAAGGCAAAATCAAGCGTAGGACTCTTCCACAGAAGAATTAGAGGTAGGGTTGGTAATCATAATTGTCAGCCTGTAGAATTTTGTAACCCTTCTATTTTCTTTCATAGCCCTAACCATTGTGAGTTAAATTTCTTTTAGTGAATACTTATCTTACCAGGTTAGTCAGTAACAGACAAGGAATTTTCAGCCTAAATGGAAGCAGGACCACAGACTTGAGTAATTAATGCTTTGCAGTGGTTCAGGTGTTGCCAGAGTAGGTTTCATCTCTGGAAGACGAGAAGTGAGTAAAATCTCTGATAAATTAGAAGGTGATATTTTGTTAAGTTGATACTTGAAGACCAGTCCACAAAATTTGCACTGAGAAATTAGAATGTGCATGTTAAAAAAAGGAAGATTTTAGGTCTTGGATATGTTCATTCTTGCTTTAGGAATACAATGTGTTTAATCTATTTCCTTGCACTTGTTTTGGCAGCCTGGGTTTTTTTGCAAGTGGGTAATGGTAAACTGTCCATAATCTTATATTTTCTAACACATACATGCATATATATGTGCATAAAACCAGAATACATATCTGACTCTAAAGGACATCCATAAAACATTGAGAGGATGTGTAGGGTAAGAAGAGACTTGTTTCCCCCAAGATGTACATGCATTCTATACTGGATGCTATAAGAATGTAATGAGAAGTGAACACACTACAGATAGCGTACCATGGATAAAGTTACCTTTCTGGATCACTTTTACTTTTTTCACATTAATGTTTGGTGACCTTTTTCATTAATTCCTCTTTCTTATGGTGATGTTACTTTGTGCATATAATGCAGCCTTAGAGAAAATGAAAAACTTCCCTTCAGGATGGTGTTTTTATTTTTTTTTAAGTTTATTATTTTATTCAAGCAAATTAAGGCAGTTCTATCAGCATTATCCTTAGAAGCATTTCCCTTATAAAACTATTCAATATGCACTAAGAAAAATCAGCATGAAACCTACTATATGTACAGAACATTGTTGACAGTATAGTGTGTGCATCAGAAACAACAATCAAATCAAAATAGTTTTCCTTTAATTGTTAACACAAGTTGAGGATTATCAAGTGTTTGTTCCTTCTCTACTTGATGGCATTTACCTAAACCTCTTTTATAATTGCAGATCTTTGCCCAGGGAAGTCTTTACATTTACCTGTAAAGAAAATAATTAAATGAATGTTTCCCCGTTTCTTTTGAGGGATATAATATAATTTTATCATTATATTGATATTTTTCATAACCAGCTGTATTTTTGAATGCTTCTGTCAATGTTTCCAGCTTCTCTTTGCAACAAATGGTGATTGCCATTAAAGTGTCAAATATTTGTCCCTTGCCTAATTGACATTCCTGTGAAGTTCATTGTTCTCTGAAATGCTGTAGATACCCAAAGGTTGGGTATCCACACTTATCCAGGTAAAGGTGTAATTTGTGCTGCTAACTGAAAATGTTTATTTTTATATGTATATTTTAGCACTTGAATTAAACTGTGGTAATAAATTAATGTATAAGGAAGCAGATGGTTTTGGACCCACCCTATTTGTTTCTAATGCTTGGAGAGGAAAAGATTGGCAGTGGCAAAACTTAGAAAAGCAGAAGCCAACAGCTGTGAACGTTTCCATTCTTACTTAGTCATCTGAGCTTAGTTGTGCGAATGCCTTTCAACAGGGAAGAATAGCTGCATATGCACCGTGTGAGTCAATATGTGGTAGCTTTCTGAGAAGACTCTGAAGGGGTGAAAACCTTCCTATTTTGTTAGTTTGTAGAGATGAGATAATTTATGTGTGTGTTTTTAATTCAAAACCTTTATTGTTATGCTTGCCAATTATAAAGAAAAATGGACCACTGAGCTACCATGCAGAATAATTATTTCAGGAGTGTCCCTTCTCCGGGAGCTGTTTGAAAATAGCATGCACAAATGTACTTGTCCTTGGCTGGGGAGTGCAGGGAATGGTTTTTGTTGCACTGATTTGAAAGCATTTTCTTGTAATGCATAACTGGTCAGCTTGTCCTCAAGGAGACATTTCATAGCCGTTCTGTTTGGCTAAAGGAATGTTTTATGATATCTTTCCGTTTGGGATTTGATAGGAAGAAATGGGTGGTTTTGACCATTCATTTTAAAGGTGGTGAATTGAGTAATTTTTCTCCTAGATACAGGTTATATCAAAGACTATTGAGCCTTCAGAGAAGCTCTGTAAAAACAATAAAATTAAGTAATACTGTAGCAGGCATAAAGAAAACAACGTATGAGAACTTATGCTTCTTATGTTAAGAACTTGATTAAAAACAATGTTGTTTACACTTTCTCTAAAAAGAAAAGATTTTTCAATTTGCCTGAGATTTATTTAATATTCACTTTCTTTTGTAGTGTCTTCAGTCTTAGAGTTACCTTGCATGCTTGACAAAAAGATACATTTTGTTGTAGACCACCTGAAGCCAAAAGAAAAAGTGCAAGTTATGACATGGTTAAAAATTAGAAGTGAGAGCAAACATGTCTTAGGTGCCTATCTCTATTTCTAGATGTTGACTTTAAGAACAGGTAATCATCCCATTGTACAGCCTTAGGTGATGCTGTGTTTGTGCAGCTACGAAGCTAAGGGTGTGTGTTTTCTTTGTTAAACACAGTTTAGAGGTTATTCTTTAAATTATGTGGGTGTTATGTATGATTTGATCTGCTGTTTGAATCATGCCAGGTTTCAGCTGTAGGTTGTTTGTTTCTCAAACTTGTATTTTCCTTTTTAGTTCTGTCCTTGCAGAGCTTTAATTAGCAAGTTGTGGTCTTGTTGTATGGTACAGTGTTTTTATCAGGTTGTAGAAAAGAAAATGTTCCAGGCTTTGGCCCATATGATTTTTATAGAAAAGTAGCTTGTGAATCTGCTTGAAAACGTTATTTCGGAAACCTTGCTTGGTATTGCTACCTCTTATGTTTGTATGTTTGTGTGTGTGTGTGTAAATGTAGATATATAAATATGTGTATATATATGCAATCTTTGAAAATGTGTCCATTCATTCACTTATTCATGAAATCTAAGTCGTTCACAACAGCTTCTCACTTTTAAAGATTACTCTGAATTGGGAGAACTTCCACCGAGATCCCCATTGGAACCAGTCTGTGAAGATGGCCCCTTTGGGCCAGTGAAGGAAGAAAGGAAACGGACACCCCATGAGCTTCGTGAGTTGTGGAAGAAAGCCATTATTCAGCAGATACTGCTTCTCAGAATGGAGAAAGAAAACCAGAAGTTACAAGGTTGGTGAAGTTCTTGATTACACCCTCTTGCAGTACAAGTTCACTTTTTGGTTTGCTCTGTGGCCTTGGCAGTGGATTGGACCAAGTCTTAATGAAACACTTCAGGAACATAAAGGTAAATCAGTTTAACAGCATGTCCCTCAGCTGTCATTTAGTGTAGGTTACAATTTGCACTTATTTTTTTTATCACTTCATCTTATTATTTGTTTACTTGATATGAATTCATATTCTTTTAGTTTTACCATGGCTGTGGTTTTTAGTCTGGTGTCTAGATTCTCTGACAAGGAATTCAGCACAATCACTATCATGAACGGAAATCTTTTCTACATTCACATCCACAGGTCATTGTCCAAGTATTGATCATTGCAGCGTTCTGTTTAGCAAGTCTTGAAGTTGAATTGAAATATCCATTTTGTTAAAATCTCCATAGACTGACCTCAGTCAATGTCACTCCTTAGTGTTCTCTGTGTAGCTGGGTCTTGGTTTCCTTGCAGCATTTTCTTTGAGCATTTCATGCCTTTTGGGAAGAGATGGCTGACATCTTTCTGTCTCATCTGCACTGCATTTTTTTTTTTCTCCATCTGAGCTGAAAGACCTCTTCTGTTTTTTTCAGTCTGGTGACTTGCACGAATTCATCTGCTGTCCCAAAAGGTGCTTTATTATTTAGTTTATATTAATGCCTTTAATAAACCCTTTTTTTCCAGGTACATTCCAACACTAAAAAACCCCCAAAAGTAGCAAACTTTAAAAGCTTTGCCAGGAGTCCCTTTGAGATTTGCACTCCACTTCTAAACTTTGGAATTAACACTCAGCTACAGAATTCAT